TCATATTGAGAAGCTTTCTCTTCTGCACTCATTTGTTCGAAAGCAGTACAAAAGTCGCACTGGTCTTTCTTAGGAACGAAAAAAGATAGATTGAACTCTTCATTGAATATTTTGAAGTACATATTGTAGTTGGCACTTGCAACCTTTTTTTCTTTACAAAGCATTACATATTCTCTATGAAGGTCTGCTACGGATTTCCCTCCTTCTATAAATTCTTTGGTCGTATTTGAGCGCGCATAATGACTCTCTATCTTTGGTATTCTTCTTATATGACTCCTTACGCTATTTTTTATGCCTTCGTCCAATTTTGGATGTTTCCCATGCTTACCTCGTCTGTCAGGTTCTATGATTTGCCCAGTTGGTGCTAATGCCTTTTTTTGAGCCACTGTTCTAATCGGTCTGTCATTTATAGCTAGTGTAGCTTTGAAAAAATATTTACATACGCGAGTCCTTTGATTGTTCAGGATGAAGTAAAAAGCGTTATTTTGTTGGCGATGGCTACCGTCCCGTTTATATTGATACTTAGGCTGAACTAGGGACATACTTGTGGCTAAAAAGTCTCGTTGCCTATGTAAATTGTCTAAGCCCCAATATTCGGAAAAAAGAGTTTTACGATTTTCATCTGTAAATTTCTTGCTGCATTGCAGCTTGCATTTGTCTCCACAGGGAGGCAGAATGGTCCTAGAAGGGTGCAATTTTCTGGTTTTCGAAACTGACACGTATTCTTTACCTTCGTTTCTCAGAGCTTTTGCAGCATTTTTTCGCCACTTTTCCGGGAACCTTAAACGCTTTCTTCCAGTTTTGGTTGTCTGGCTGCAATTTACTACTTTTCTAGCTACATTTGAGCAGCGGTGCGAACTCTGGCCAGTCTCTTCTGCGAAACCTCCATTGGAATCACTTGATGATTCACTGGTATTGGAACTGACATCCGGGTCAGCTCTGGAGTCATCCGAACCAAATGGGTCTTCTTCAGGTCCAGAGTCAAGCCCATTGCTTGTTCCAGGCACTTCAGCAATTTGACATATTGCCAAGTTCTCTTTCTGCATTTCTAGGGCATCTGCCACCATCTTCCTTGTTCGACTACTATACTCCATAGCTAAAATTAAAAAAAAATTCATAAAAATTGGTATTAGTTTCCTGAAAACATATTTTTCAGCTTTTTTGAGGCAAATTAAATTATAGTTTCAGAAACCAATAATTTTGAATAATTCCTCGAAATACATGGAATATCATGTATGTTGACCATACTCAATCAATTCCCAAACTCCAGCCTGATCAGCAAAACTCATTTAATAGATTCAACGTAATGCTTGTTCTTTATGTAATGTGATCTGGTACTTTTTGCTCAATATGGCAACGTCGCAACACAAGAGCGAACACGTCGGATTAATCTATAATCTGGAAAATATAACTCAGAAACAACGGCTATTTGTTGCCATTTTGCTTTATTATAAACACGACACCCATCTGAACAAACACATCGGTTTCATCGGGAGGTTCAGCAGTCTGGCTGTGCTTGAATCAAGCCAGATAGTGTATTTGGAACTGCTTTATGAATGAGTAGTCATCACTGTAAATACAACTTGTATGCTCTGGAATCAGCTACTTGAAGCAAGTGTCTAATACACATTAAAAATGTTACACATAAAAGTGGCAAAACCGAATGTTGCAATATAGAACAAAGTATACTTTCTAGAGTCAATTTCAGTAGAAAACCGACATATCCACAAATGCTGCACAAAATAGTACGGTTTTGCCATCAATTTCAGGAGAAAACTGACACAACATTAAATGTGACGGTCTAGGAAAGAAATAAAAGAATATTTTAGGGCTTACCTTATCTTGAAGAATGACACAAATCGAAATATAACAGTTTTCGTCCAAGAACACTGCCTATCAAAACGTAGTAACACGTAATGCTACACTTTTCTTCAATAGCTCGGAAAAAAATACGTGTTTTAATCTGAAATATGACGGTTTTCCACTCAAAGCTAGTACATTCCCCTATGACGACTGGATTAATACTGAATTGTGCCGGTTTAGACCTATAAGGGGTACCAAGGATACGTCACTTCAAAAACGACATAAGTGCCACCTGTTGGTAGTTTGAGAAAGTCGAGATGTGACACTTTTCCACATAATAAAGTAGATAATTCTGAACCGTTTGGTGTAGTAATCTGGATTTTCATCTTTTTTGAGTTGTGACGGTTTTCCTGCGAATGAACGATATAGGAATTACTCGTTACTAGAAGAACGTGGAAATCAGCCTAAATATCACAGGATGATTTTCAAATGACACAGACACAAGAAATTAATATTGGCATTCAAGACAAATTATAGGATGAGCTAAAAAATTACTTAAAGTGATCTAATTTGTTTTTTTACTTTTACGAAAACAAAGCAGTCTAGGAAAAAACACAAGAGTAATTATTCGTAATAAATCGAAGGAAACATTCGAAAAATTACGCGTTTCGAAAAAGGAAAACAGTGCCGTACTATTTTTATTTGTAGAAATATTTTTTTTATACCGAAGCAGCCGCGCATGCAGAAGCCTAAATGCCCGGACACCGCGGCTGCTATGATGATCCCAAAGAAATTTTGTTAATACGATTTTTGAACTGCCTAACGTTAGTAGAACTGGAAAAGCTTCCTGTTGTAGATTGTTCCACAATCTCGACACCCTCGGGACAAAGGAGCGGTCGTATCGGACAGTTCTGGATGTAGGAAGTTCGACATGGTTAGGATGGGACGCCAAAGGATCTGTCGGGCAGGCACATCGCGCGGCGACATCATGGAAGAGAGCTCTGAGGAGCAAAGCCCATTCGTGTAGCGGTAGAAAAGAGATGGATCGCCGACTGCCCGCCTGTGCGAAAGCGTCCCGAATAATTTGATAACAGTTTTCCATTATCCTTATAAGTAAAATTCTGTAAAAAGCAGATATGTTAATAAACGGCCATGTATTTTAAATGCCGTTTTATGAATAGCGAAACTACAAGCCTCTGTAGCTCAGTGGCAGAGCACTGGTCTTGTAAACCAGGGGTCGTGAATTCAATCCTCACAGGAGGCATATTATGGTTTTTATTTTTTTAACACGCTTTTATTAGCTTGGCCTGTATGTATGTATGTAATGGAATCTTTGAGCATAATTTCACCAATTTCCAGAACTTTGATTAATTTGAAACTTCGCACACGTATCAAGAACCCTGTGACAATGCAATAATTTGATAACAGTTATCCATTATACCCATTAGGCTCCCAGGGTTGATAAATTCCTTTATAGATCCTCTGTAGGGCAGTAAAACAGATACAGCGAGCGCGCGATCTACGCATGCGTGCAGTTTCTGACTTACTCTTTCATGGTTCGGATTGAAGAACATGATTGCTATAAGTTAACAGAAAAAACCCCATGCAATAGTGAGGCTTTAAATGAAATGATTAGATTATGAAATGATTCGTAAGACATTTCAATACCACATGTCCACAAAAAACTAATTGATAAATCGAACTAAAAAATGAAAAATAAATAATAGTTAAAAAAAAAACTAAAACACGCTTTTATAGCTAACCGAACCAAAAAGTAGAAAATAATTTTTAATTACAAAGAGTTATTACAGTAGTAGATGGTCGAACAATCAATCATAAGTAATGACTTCAAAATATAATTATAATAAAACTTAAGTTATTAATATTCAATTTAGAGTAAAAAGCGTAGGGTGCATTTTACTACATTTTCATAACTCTCCTCTCATAGATAGTTGCCAATAGAATGATTGTAACATTTAATATATCAAGCACCCCACGCTTTTTACTCAGAATTAAATTATTCTGTTAAGGACTTAAATTTTATTATAATTATATTTTGATTGATTGCTCGACCATCTACTACTCTTTGTAATTAAAAATTATTTTCTACTTTTTGGTTCGTTAGCTATAAAAGCGTGTTTTTTTAGTTTTTTCAAACTGCTATTTATATAATTTACGTGAATCATGATGTAGTTAGTGTAGGCAGAAAGAAAGTGATAACGACTCAGTTAATTTCTTGTTCGTAGTTGTGTCGTACCAGGCGTGTAGTGTGTCGGAATATTATAGTTTTCGTGGTATTTGAGAATAGTACTTTTTTTTAACAGTTTTTCTTACTTTAACGTTTTAGCAAATGGTGCTTTTGCGATATCCTATCCTGGTATTTTTTTTTATTTTGACAAGTCGATACTTAATCCCGTATACCGTATGATTCTAAAAAGTTACTCCAGGGATCTCTTCTTCACACTTCCCACAGCAAGTTTTGGATAAAACACAAAAAAGGGTGTTAGTAGTGTAAACAGAAACAATGCTATATTCAAAACCTATGCCGGGGGTACACGTGCGCTGACACTGGCATGTACGGAAATCTTGTGTATATGGGCTTATCTTATAGTATTGTTATAAGTATAAGCAGGTGTATGTTAATCAATAATTCTGTCAGTGAAATCTGAAAATTTCCTTCAATAATAAGATTTTCGAACGGAAAAAATTTACAAGCGTACCTTAAAAACATTTATTTTAATACACAGTATCAGCAAAGGAATACAAGAAAGATGGAAACAAGGAGAAATCATAAGCTTTTACTTTCCACGCCTACTGGCGGGGAACTATTGTAATCGCGAATAATTTCAAAAATGAAATATCATGCTTTTTGGATGTTATTATGATATGTACATCACGAAAAACCATGTCACTCATTTCCGTCGGTCTGTCCGCTAATTTTATAGCCGCCTATAACTTGGGAAGTATCGCTCGGATTTCGATGAAATTCATACACAATGTTACTACTACGCCAAAGACGCAAAAGCTCTATCTTTTTTTGAAAATCGGTCCAGTGGCGGCAGAGAAACGAAAAAAAGATGGAGGCATATAAGAGTGTTTGACAATTTAGGGTATACTCAAAACTTTTTTCTGGAGTTGTCAACGTTATGACAAGCTTTCAGAATTTGATTTTTATGAATTTTCAGTTTCTGGCCGGTTTAAAAGTCAAAAATCTTTTTGCGAGCTCAATTATTTTGAATAAACTTTTCTTTCCAAAAGCACCTGCCTAATTTAGTGGGTGGTTTGAAATATTATTGAAATATTTTTCGAATCGACAGTTATAACTTTTTGGGCATAGTCAAGGTTACTTTGAATATTATAATGAACACTTTTATGCATGCGTAATTTGAAATTAGATGTTTGACCACATTTCTGTGATTATGCAATTAGTGCAATGATTTAGCTCTTATAAGAAATAAAAAACTATGTTACATGAGTTTTTATAGCTTTCCATCATGCTTCAATTAGACAAAAAATAGAACAAATTAGTTTCATTAAGGTACTTGATAGATTAAAACTATATTTAGTTAGCAAATTGTAGCAAACATGATGATATAAAATTTTTCTTCACAACGAATAATTCAGAAACTTTTTCATTTTCTAAACATCATTTTGATAGTTCAAAAGGTGTATTTTTGTTGCATCATATCTACTAGGAAAAATAATGCCTATTATGCCACCTTATTTACGGTAAGTAGAGCCGGGATAAGCTTCCTCTTGTAGATTGTTCCCCAATCTCAACACCCTCGGAACAAAGGAGCGATCCTATCGGCTAGTTCTGGATGCAGGAAGTTTGACACGGTTAGGATGGGAGACCGAAGTCAGGCGGGTCTGTTTGGCAGGTAAATCGCCAAGCCCATTGGTGTAGCGGTAGAAAAGAGCTAGATGGCCGACGGCCCGCTGATGCGAAAGGGTCCCGAGATTGTCTGTCAGAGAACAGTTATCTATCCGTCGGACAGCATCGAGTATAAATAATGTATTCCTGGCGGTAGTACCCCAGACGTGTGAGCAATACTCGAGGCTAGGTTTTATCTGGGCCTTGTATAGGCCATGCGGAGAAAAGTACTTCTTAGCCATAAACAAATAGCCTAGCTTTTCCCAGTAGGTGTCGTTGTTGATGAGATGTGTTCATGCCAGGTCAAGTCCTGGACTCCGGCTAGTGGAAATGAACTGCTCCTTGCCATCCATCGAAAACGGATGAGCGCTAGGAAGCTTTTTGTTCGTCAAGGTACAGTACTGTGTTTTGGAAGCATTAAGCTGTGCAAGATTGTTGCGTCCCCAAGTAGTGATAACCTCCTGGTCTCTCGTCAGAGACGAAGTCGCTATTAGTCTTTTTTTTTCCAGCTCACCGGCAGAGATCGGCTTATCGCTTTGAATACTGAAATCAGCAAAGCTGTGGATTGAGCTGATCGTTCAGGAAAGGAGGGGTTGTACGAGCTGGGGATTGTAGGTGGTAGCAGTTGCAAATGATGCACCTTTGATATCAGAGAGAGATGTAATTAAGGAGGTTCTCATTACGGTCATGTTGCACTCCTGTTAGACGTAATAGTTGCACATATACATACTTTGTGTAGTTTGAAATGTATAGGTTTATGATATATCTTACCTAAGTGAACATATCTAAGCAAGTTTCGATTATGTTTGAGTCTTTTGAATAGATTTGACTCAGAATTTTTTGGAATAGCGATACTAAGAAATTTTGCAAATTTGTAAGGGTGTATAAATGCGTGGAGAGTTGAATCTATCAGAATCTTTTTTCGTTATTTGAATTTATTTTTTCCAGTGACCTCAGACGAAGATGTCGGAAACGGAAATCCAAAAATTCTACAAGGGATGCAATGTGTTCATAACGGGCGGCACTGGATTCTTGGGGCAGATACTGATCGACAAGTTGTTTAGGTCAACAGAAATCAACACTCTGTACCTGCTCATCAGAGAGAAGAAAGGAAAGAATGCACTCGCCAGGATAGACGAACTGTTCGATGATGAGGTAAAATAGTTATTTTTAAAGTTTCCATCAAACAGACAGACAGACTGATGGAAATAAGTGACATGGTATTTCATGATCTACATACGTCATGTAACATCCAACAAAATGGCGTTAAGCGGGGGATTCTGCACTTCCCACGCAACCATGTCACCAGTTCGGTATACGATAATGCTAGAAACTATCTTCCTGCCCTACCGAAAGTGTCGGCCATCTGGCAACGTCGCTGAATCGTAGCAGTCCGTCATGCCAGCGGTGCGCGCAGATGCAGACAGGATTCTGTGTATGTACATACGTATAGGTTCGTAGCGCGACCCATACGCGATGCGTCTGGATATTTATCTGTACTAAGGGCAAATGTACAGGGAAATCTATGGTGTGTGAAATATGTACTAATATGTGTGTTGAATTGACGCAGTTTGAAGTGTATAAATATACACACTTCAAAAAACTGATATATATATATATATATATATATATATATATATACCTATATATATATATATATATATATAGGTGAAAAATTAAAGCTTCCGCCTTTTGTTGGGTACTTCGACAAAATTTAAGCAAAGAGGACTCTTTATACTTTTTTAATTCTCTCTAGCTTTCAATGGACTTTGCCATCATCTTTAGGAGCTGCAATTACAATGATAACAGTAGCAACAAAAGTGTAAAATGAATTTAAATTGAATCAACTTACAGTAGTATGTGAGGATGTTGCTAATTGTTGTTTTCGTATAGGATGAGGGAAACGTCCAGTAACATGGTGAGAGCTGGATACATGGTACAATGGTTAAAATTATATAAAATATGACAAGACAAGTTAAAGACAGATTAAAAATTATTTAGAAAACATTAGAGCATTACGTTGTGAAGCCACTTGATGATTGCACAAAATGGTGGTCATGGAATAATGAGTGAGATGAACCTTTGACAGAAGGCCGAAGGTTGTCAATGTCTGTGTTGAAAGATGGAACGAATTGTGGGCGTGTGCCAAAACGTTGCCAAATCACTTCAGATGATGTGATTTTCAGAATGTTATGTAAGAAATTGTTAAACCGACCAGAGGCAGTTGAATAAATTATATTTTAATTAATGGGAATTTTAAATTAACAATTATTAATAAATCGTGAGAAGAGAATTATTAGATTTTGAGTGGAATGAAATTTGTTGGTGGAATCGGCCAAAACACAAATTATATTTATGGTTGTGAAAAGTCGAAATTTGGGGAGATATGTAAGTTCTCCAATTTTTCGCAGTTTAGCAAATATGAGTAAATGACACTCAGTTGTTTAATATCTGTCTTTTTGTTGATACAGTTGTTATTCATGAAAATGTGGGACATTTCCAGGAATAAACGTTTGGAAAGGTGTTTTTCTTTATCAAGAACTTTGATACTTGTGTAATTCATAGAATGCCCTGTTGTGTTAACATGAGATGCTAGAGCGCATCTTTCAGGATGAAGCCTAGCATCACTTTTGTGTGATGTAATGCTTCCTTTAAGAGATCTGGAAGTCTGACCTATGTGTATTTGGTTGCAGTTGTTGCAATTGATGGAGTAGACTGTGTTAGTTAAGCCAAGCAGCGGGACTTTGTCTTTCATTTTTGAAAAAATGCGGTTTATAGTGAGGACGGATTTGCAAGCAATTCGAAAGTTCAAAGGACTGCACAATCTGATCAGCTTAGGGGTCAGTTCTTTGATATAGGGCAGGACAGCAAAACCAGGTCTGGAGTCTAGGTTGGTGCTTGTACTGTTTGGATTGATGTAATTCCCAATTTCATTATATGTAAAAGACCGTTGAAAAATGGCTGTCCTATGTTGTGGCATTGTCAGGAGATTAATGTTGCGCGTATTCAAATTGTGAATTAAATTCCTACGAACAAGCTTTTGCATAAGATAAACCGGAACAGAGGTTTTTAATATTTTTAAGACAAGTGTAACAAAGTTGTATTTGAAAAGATCAGAGATTTTCAACCAATTCATTGAAGATATTGAGTGTGAAACATGAACGTACCTTCTTAAATTGTTAATCTAACGACTACATGAGTTTTGAATTTTTTGCAGTCTGTATTTTGTGATTTCATCCAGACAGGGATAATAAACTATGTTGCAGTAAGCGATTTTACTGAGTATGAGTGACTCGCATAACATTTTCTTAATTTTTCTATTTAAAACAGTTTTACTTGCATATAGAAGCCTAAGTCTAAAATAACTAGACTTACACACATAGCCGACATGCTCCTGAAATCTGAAATCTTCATCCAAGTACAAACCTAATTTTTTTGCAGAATGGGAAAATATTAGGATACTATTATTTAGTGATAAATTTAACTTTGATTTGAGGAATGTACGTTTTTTCTTGGAGCAAAAAAGTATAGCTGTCGATTTCGATGCGTTTAGACGTAAATTATGTTTTGCAGCATATGTCCATAAGTATTGTAGATCTTGATTGATAAGGTTGTTAGCTAAATGGTAGTTGTTCGGACAGAAATTATGAAAAACCTGCATATCATCAGCATATGATTGACTAGAACAATATTGAAGGGTGTTAGAAATGTCAAAGGTGTATATAAAGAATAAAAGTGGACCTAATATGGATCCCGGATAAAATCGGCTTTTTGTCTGAAAGTTTATTTTGTATGACGGCATATTGATGTCGTTCATTTAAATAGCAATCTATCCATTCCAGAACCAAGTCGTCACACCCAATATATTTACGCCAAAGCGGTAGTGGTACTGTGACCCTTTCTAAAGCCTGATTGATTTAATGGCAAAATGCTGTGTTCGAGTAAATACTCATTCAACTGCCTTTTTTCTGGAATTTTTGATAGAGCTGACAGCAAGCTAATAGGTCGGAGATCACCAGGAACCTGGGGATTGGGAATCTTTGGAAGAGGTTGCACTAATGCTTCCTTCCAAGCACTTGGAAAAACACCGCGCTCTAAACAACAATTTATTAAGTGATACAGCGAATAGCATCCAATACTGTAGATAAATCGACAAGACGGAACTGAAAATGAAAATCTTGGTTTAATTTGTTATGGCTATAAAATTCCATAGTTTCCGAGCAATCATCGTCACTTTTCTGGAATATACTGGTAAAATAGTTATTTATTTCATTGGGAACTGCTAAATCATCTGGAATGTCAGTATTACTAGAATCCTGAATTCTAAATGACTTAAGAGCTTTATAAAGAGCTGCAGAGTTTCTTTGTCGAGATAGATGTTGAAGGTAGCCTGATTTCTCTGCACGTGTAGCAGTTTTTGTAAAATGTCTCAGTTCATTGTAATGATCTCGATTCGCATCCGTTCGAGGCCGTCTATATTTATGAAAAGCCTTATATCGTTCTTTCATTATCATTTTCAAATTGTTTGTGAGCCATGGTGCACGAGACTGAGACACTCTCACTGTTTTTAGTGGTGCATGTATGTCAAAAAGTCCTACAATGTTATCGGAAATAAATTTTACTTTCTCATCGATATTAGCCGTATAAATAACTTCAGCCCAATTAACGCTAAATAAGTCATCGTCAAAAGAGGTTAGATCAAAATTGCGATAGTCTCTAAATGTAATTAGTCTAGGTGGTGGTTTATTGTTTCTACACGAAATGTGACAGAATACAGCCTGATGGTCACTAAAGTTAACAGTGAAAGTTCCGACTTTGGAACATCTTTGTGCACAGTTGAAGAAAACCGGATCTAAAAGCGTTGAAGAATGATCAATTATTCGAGTTGGTTCAATCAATAGCTGGTGCAGGCTGTAAGATTGAAAGCACTGATTAATCTTATTATCAATAAAGAAATTAACGTTGAGGTCACCAAGTACCAAGATGTATTCATTAGACGGTGCTAAGATGGACAACGTATTATATACGTATAATATACTTACTCTCAATGGTAATGCCATCAATACCACTAGAATTGGACTTGATACAGCGAATAGCATCCAATACTGTAGATAAATCGACAAGACGGAACTGAAAATGAAAATCTTGGTTTAATTTGTTATGGCTATAAAATTCCATAGTTTCCGAGCAATCATCGTCACTTTTCTGGAATATACTGGTAAAATAGTTATTTATTTCATTGGGAACTGCTAAATCATCTGGAATGTCAGTATTACTAGAATCCTGAATTCTAAATGACTTAAGAGCTTTATAAAGAGCTGCAGAGTTTCTTTGTCGAGATAGATGTTGAAGGTAGCCTGATTTCTCTGCACGTGTAGCAGTTTTTGTAAAATGTCTCAGTTCATTGTAATGATCTCGATTCGCATCCGTTCGAGGCCGTCTATATTTATGAAAAGCCTTATATCGTTCTTTCATTATCATTTTCAAATTGTTTGTGAGCCATGGTGCACGAGACTGAGACACTCTCACTGTTTTTAGTGGTGCATGTATGTCAAAAAGTCCTACAATGTTATCGGAAATAAATTTTACTTTCTCATCGATATTAGCCGTATAAATAACTTCAAGCCCAATTAACGCTAAATAAGTCATCGTCAAAAGAGGTTAGATCAAAATTGCGATAGTCTCTAAATGTAATTAGTCTAGGTGGTGGTTTATTGTTTTTACACGAAATGTGACAGAATACAGCCTGATGGTCACTAAAGTTAACAGTGAAAGTTCCGACTTTGGAACATCTTTGTGCACAGTTGAAGAAAACCGGATCTAAAAGCGTTGAAGAATGATCAATTATTCGAGTTGGTTCAATCAATAACTGGTGCAGGCTGTAAGATTGAAAGCACTGATTAATCTTATTATCAATAAAGAAATTAACGTTGAGGTCACCAAGTACCAAGATGTATTCATTAGACGGTGCTAAGATGGACAACGTATTATATAATATACTTACTGCAACATCCAAACTTCCCCGAGGCGGTCTAAAAATAACACCAACTACAATACATTTACGGCCAATACGAACCTTGAGCCAAAGCATTTCTAGAGAAGTACGATCATATTCCTCAAACGATAGAATTTCTGATGAAAAACGATTTTTGACATAACAGCCAACCCCACCTCCGCGACTACCACGATCACGACGATGGAAGTTATAACCAGAAATATCTACTGAACTTGTTGGAATATCTGAAGACAGCCATGTTTCTGTAACAGCCACTACATCTAGATCCATATAATTAACCATGAAAGAAAGGTCCGCCATTGAAGGAAGAATTGATCTGGTATTAGAGTTAACAAATTTAATAATGTCAGCCATAGTTAATTCTACTTTTCAAATTATCAAAATGGCTTTTAAAAACAGCACAACAGCTAGAGTAAGACGCGTGATCAGTTGGTAGACCTTTCTTACTGGTTTTGTTAACATTAAGACAATTTATGCATTGGAAAACAGATGATTTACAATCTTTAGCTTTATGATTTTGGGAGCATTTTGGACATACAACATTAGATTTGCAACTTATATCGGTATGACCATAACCACAACACTTAAAACACTTCAACACATGTATATGATCACTCACAGGCGATTTCTTCCATCGGATGAACAGGAAACTTTTCTCTAACAAGATATTCCTAAGGTCAGGAGATACTTCTATGACGATATTTGTGCTCTCTTAATGCTTAAGTTTGGTAACGAATTTTATGTCAGACTGATGCGTGTCATCAATATTGTTTAAGGCTACAATATTATTGATTATCGATTCGGGCGAATCCAGACCGTCGAGGTTAACGTTTTTGATTAGGAGACGTGGATTAAGTTTTCTAGCTTCCATGATTGAATATTTGGATCCAAGCTCGTTATCCAAACTATTCTTAAGAACCGTAAGTGACTTCTCATGTTCTTCTCAGCTAACTCATTTTTGAAATTATTCGCCATTAAAATACTCCTTCGGCAGTGTAGTGTTCGAAATTTCCGAATAAAATATTTCCTCGCTAGTAAAAACATTCAGAATATACATTTTGGATGGAGTGACATTTTTGGAAAACGCCCCTATGGCCATCAAGAGCATGTGATTCTACCCCATTAGGAAAAAATGTCGAAGATGAGATATTGTGTTTTTGGGAAGTTATATGGCATCTAAATCATGTGAGTCAAGCATGCTATATGCTTTGTGCTTCTGGGGCTCATCGGTGAATGCTTAAGTTGTTCTTAAGTCAAAAATGGCTGATAAGGTGTATAGTGGAGGTAAACAGTACGCATAGTTGCAGAGAATTATGCAAAAGCTTGAAAATAATGTCGCTACCTTCGCTTTTTCTCCACAAAATAGTTATCTATATTTTGTTAAACAAAGAGGATTTCACCTTGAATGCATTAAGTTGGCACTCGCAGACAAAGTGACATCCATTTACCTTTTGTCCGTTACCGGTTAGATAGCAGATCACCATGCATTTTAGGATCAAAAATTTTAAACAACCTGCTATATAATAGGCTAATGCAAATCTGGGCTGAAAAGCTACTAAACCAGTGCCTGTTTTTATGATATTAGTGACTCTGTCAAGTTTTAAATATCGTTTTTATGACACAATTTAACTTGCTTGTTTTTACATGTTATTTGTTTGTTTGTCTTCGTCATTTATTAATTTTGTAAATATTTATTATATTTTTGATGAAACCGATACATGTTCATGTCTGAAGCAAAATATTATTATTATTATTAACCAGTTATTTTCGTCGGTCTGTCTGCTAATCGTTGGCTTGTCTATAACTTAGTGATAGACGTAAGCAATCTTACCTCCGAATATTTTCTCATTGATTACTGTATGTCACTAATATCTTATTTTGGTCCCCAGATCTTTGATACACTAAAAAAAGAACGTCCAAAATTCAAGCACCAAATCCAAATCATCAGCGGCGACTGCGCCTTAGCGGGCTTGGGTGTCAGCATAAAGGATAGGCAGACTTTGATATCGAACGTGAACATCATTTTTAATGGTGCTGCTACAGTCAATTTTGATGAGAATCTGAAAACTGCGTATGCCAGCAATGTAAACAGCTCCAAAGAGGTGATTGAGATGGCCAAACAGATGACCAATTTGAAGGTAAGGGAGATGTTGGAGCCTTCCCCGGGATATCTACGGATATTTAACAAGAAATAACCAACACAAAAACACCAACAAAGTCTTCACGAACATGTGGCATGATTAGTAGAGCCGCACATTCGCTAAATATATCCTCAGCTATCCTAGTGAGGAAGTAGCAAAACACTACCTGCCTACTAGGTCTGTAAATTAAGTGATGAGACTGATTTTTTTTAACTTTCTTATTCAAGTGTAATTACAATTTTATATTGTCACCCTCAAAATGACTTCCTTATGAAGCAATGCACCGCTGGTTCTTCCACTTCTCATAGCAGTGCTGGAACTCCGATGCTGGAATAGTCTTCAGGTGGTCGGTTTCAGCCATTTGAATGTTTTCGACCGTCCCAAAATAGTTCCCTTGAGGGCGAGTCTCCCTTCTGAAAGTGCCTTATACTACCGAAAAACTTGGGCTCTTGACAAAACACTATCTCTGTAGACCTGCTGCAGTTTAGCAAGCTTCTGTTGCACTGATAGCACACCGTTCCTTGAAGTTGAGGTCGATCATTTTTATACAAGGAAAAAAACTGTTTCACAGGAAAGATACCTACGGATAACCAGATGACTCGAGCGAGTTCAAACTTGTACTGAAGACGGATCTCATTTCCCCCTGTCCTCCAGCCATGGCGCCTCCAGTATTGCTAGATCGACCCCTCATTACTTAATTTACAGACCTCGTATGCACTTTTGTTTCTGTCAGGCAATGGGTTCCTATGAGAATGTATGTGCTAACTAAGCCTAGGAGATCATTTATTTGATGTCCTATACATAACCGTATCCTACTAATGCATAATTCCACAAAATAATCACAATCTAAAGGATAAAACTGCGTTAATTTAATTAAAATCATCCGTGGAATTTGGAACATAAAACTGACTCCGCTTTTGTGTAAAATTTTTGTAAAACATATTTTATTTTTTCTCTGATAGGTCACTATTTTTTTCAGTCACTTATTCATGTATCTACAGTCTTCTCCAATTGTCCGTTATCAGTAATAGATGAGAAATTCTACGATTTTCCTCAGTCCCATGAAGATATTGGGCAGCTGCTTGAAAAACTTAGCTTTCAAGAGGCTGATGAAATCACACCAAGGTAAGAATTATAGCTCCAAATTTAAGCTAGGAAATATTTTTGTCAGCGAAATGAATTGTAAACAGGAGATTTATTGAATATAGCTACCTATTTTTAATGCAATTTGTTATCATATTATGTTTCTATTTGTAGAATCCTAGGAAAGTGGCCAAACACCTATACATTCACTAAAGCGATGACAGAATCAATGCTGAAAGAAATAGGAGGAGGTTTGCCACTTGGTATATTCAGGCCAGCAATTGGTATGTTCTTCTATAATTGTTAGCTCCTCTTAGAAAGAAGCTAGTCACAAACATGTATAACAAAGGAATTAAATGCATTCATCAAAAACATATTTCTATCATTCAAGTTTTAAGCGAAAATTTAAGGAGAAATATATGATGTATGAAATATGTCTAATAGGCGCGTGGATTTACTGGGGCTGGAAGCGTGTACATTGCTAGCACCAAAAAATTGACATGTACCCCCCCATCTCCTACAACCCCAACATTCAACTTTTAACCGTTGCATTTTTCCGAGAATGATCTGGGTCCTCTGAAACGTCAAAAGTTTGAGCGTTTTTGATTTTTCTGTCATTGCAATATACATAGTTCTTTCTTCACTATCCTCTTCAGGTAGCTATCAAAACAACCATGTCCTGTGAGCAACTGTGCATTATAGTAATCTATGCGCACCGCTCCCTTGTCAATCCCGGTTTAATGCCTGAAATCAGTTTTATAGTCCATGCACCATGGCCAGTTGCATTTCATCTTTTCTGCCATCTAACCACGAGCGTCTCTCTGTCGCTCTCACATCCTTCTTATAGAGCTCACATCTTTCGATACCGTTCTATAAGCGCAGATCACGAACAGTACGATCTTTCTCTGACTTCTGAACGTTAGCTCCTTATACGAGGGATGTCTTTTAAGTTTTGCATATGGAAATAAAGCAACGCTGTAGGTAGTTCTAAATGACTTTATTGTTTTTCGAAGTATTCTCCACGAAGATTAATACACATCTGCATGCGCTCGAACCAATTTTCGAAGCACTTATTCCACTCGTTTGCTGGCAGATCCAAAACGGCATTTTTGAATGCGTCAACTGCTTCTTCTGGTGACTGGAACCTTTGACCACGCAGTCTGTTTTTAATTTTCGGAAAAGTAAAGAAATCGTTAGGACTTAGATCGGGACTATATGGAGGATGGTCCAATAATTCCACGTTTTCTTCCGTTAAATACTGCCTTGATTTTTGGGCTGTGTGCGAGGTTGCATTGTCTGGGTTGATTTTTCGAATCTCGGAGGTGATTTTTGGCAAACAAATGTTGGTATACCAATCCGCAGTAACAGTTATTTGCTCATTAAGAGGAATTGCTGCAATATGACCCGCTTTTGTCGCGACCATCTTTTTCGACACACTTGGCAAAAGCCAAAGAAAGAAAGAAAACTTCACCTTGGAACACCCAAACAGCTGACTGTCGGTTATTTTCTGGTTCATAACCGTATATCCACGATTCATCACCACTAACAATGCTGTACACATTTTTTGAGTTTCCGGAATTCAAACGGTCGAGCGTTTTTTGACACCAATTAACCCTGGCTACTTTCTGCTCTTCAGTTAACAGGTGGGATATCCAAAGAGAAACTAATTTTTTCAGTCCTAATTCTTCATGTAAATTTTTTTAAATTGAGATCTTTGAGATCTTCAAGGACGCCTCAATCTCGCGATATGTCACATGTCTATTTTCAATGATGAGTTTGCGCACAGCATCGACGTTTTTCTGGGTGTCTGCCGTTTTTGGTGCACCCACCCTGAGATCGTCGCTAAGACTCACCCGTCCACGTTTGAATTTTCCATACCAACGGGAAATTGTCGACTGATGTGGCGCTTTGTTGCCGAAAACAGACAGTAACTCAGCAAGGCATTCTTGTTGCGATAATTGTCTCTGAAAGCTGTAATAAATTATGGCGCGAAAATGTTCTCGGTTGAGTTCCATTTTCCTAATGACTTCGTGACTCTTAAAAATTCACTGTAGTGAGAACACTGCACGTATTGTTGTGAAACTTTGAATTTAAGTTTACTAAAGAGTGAGGTTAAGCTCTGGGCTGTAGGGCCGCTGCGTAAGCGTTGGGATGCCGGCCTTGGTCAGGCGGTGTGAGCCGGGGCGTTGTCGTGGTGCAACTTCCAGTCGGCTGTGATGTCTTGTCGGACCCGACTGACCTTTCGTTTGAGTCTCCTGAGCACTTCCACGTAAAACTTGGCGTTGACGGTTTGTCTAGGAGGAACAAATTTATGGTAGACGATGCCTTTGATGTCAAAAAAGACAATGAGCATCGTTTCCACTTTGGATTTGCTCATTCTTCCCTTTTTTGGGCGAGGAGACGCCGTCGTATGCCACTCGGAAGATTGCCCCTTTGTCTCGGGATCATACTCAAAGATCCACGACTCGTCACCTGTGATTACGTTATTAAAAAATTGGGGGTCACTTTCAGACATGTTGAAAATTTTCTTGGCACACTTTCACTCGCCGCAATTTCTGGTCGTCAGTGAGCACTTTTGGGACCATCTTCGCGCACACCTTGCGCATGTTCAAATGCTGTGTGACCATGTCATGAACGACAGATTTTGGTAAATTTAATATCTGGACAATTAAACGAATACTTAGTCGACGGTCTGAGTTCAAAACTTTGCGCACACGAGTCACATTATCGGTGTTTGTCGAAGTCGAAGGTCTTCTAGCACGGTCTTCATCAGCGACCTCTTCCCGACCCTCCAAAAAGGCCTGGTGCCACCGAAACACACCTAAAGCAACATCTGGGTAAACCTGCTTGATCATATCAAACGTCTCTGTCGCAGATTTACCGAGTTTCACCCAGAATTTAATCGCGTACCTCTGCTCTAACGAACGCTGCATTTTCGGCTTGCACCACTCACAGAAACACGTCGCGCGAAAATGCCTGTCCTGACTCTCCAGGTGCTCGGAGACAACTGACCAGCCGCTCATTCGTTAGCTAGGAACGCCCTCTACCGAATCCAGTCGGTGCGCGCACACTCCGAAATACAGTCATGGCGGAAGAAAATGAGTCCTATTACTTTCCGGACAAACCCTGTACATAGATAGGGGTTTGATATAGCCTAATCGAGTTTGTCACCCCAGCCGAGCCACCTTAGCCGTATTAGGAATGCAACGATTTTGTTTACCTTATCAGTCGTGAGTATTATGGGTTCAGTCATTTTAATTTCCTTTTCGAGCCACATTCCTAAATATTCATTCGCATTTTGGCTTCGACTCTCAGCATCCAATCCTAACAACCAACAAGGCTAGTGTAACTTATCTTGTGCCAATAAAAATACATGTATTGACAGTAAAGAAGATATGTCTGGTTTTATTGACCAGAGAAGAGTGACTTCAGTCTTCGCAGGAATTCAATATATCCTCTTTCATTCATGTGATAATACGTAAACGTTTACAGCTTTTACTTCGCACGTCAGTTGGCAAGGCAGCCGCAAAACATTTCGAAAATGAGTTATTCTGTTTTTTGAATGTTGCATCATCACGAAAAACCTTGTTAGCTCTTTTCCACTACAACTTGAAAAGTATTAGTCGAATTTTGGTGATATTTTTCCACAAGGTGACTACTATGCCAGCGACAACAAGGCTTTGTTGTTCCTGAAAATCGATCCATTGGCGGCGAAGCTGAGGGGGAAAAGTGACAAAAATAAAACTCCCTCAAACCTTGTCTTTTAACTATCAGGGACTCCTGATCTGTTTTGGAATTTCTTTTAGAATGGCAACAAATTGGAGGTAGAGGGTTGCAGGAGTGGCATTAGAGACAGATTGACTTTGAAACTTGGAATCATACAGATACCTATTTTCAACACACGCGTGAAATAGAACGAACGTAAAGCGATCTACCTGTGTGTCGGGCTGACGGCTAGCCTGTGATGTTTTAGTCATAGCAACGTTGCCAGATGATCGGTACTGACCGCAAGGAGATAAATGAGATAAATTTCTAGATCGCAACGTTGTCATATGGGTCTGGACTAAATGAGTGGGCTTGTTTGACTTAATCCATTTATTATACATGTTCCTAGCTAACTTTCTTCTGAAACACTAACTGGTGCATAACACAATCCATCATGAACTAATAACGTTGCAAGAGAAGTACCGAGTCAATTTACTTGACGCTATTTTTTTACCTAAAAGGTAAACCTATATTAATTTATTTTTAAATTATTATAATTTTTTTAGTGATATCGACATACAGGGAACCGATCCCAGGCTGGGTTAAGAATCCGTATGGGCCAACGGGCATTATGGTTTCAACTATGAGCGGTGTGTTGCGAGTCATGTCAGTGGACATTGATTGCAAGGCTGACTTGGTCCCAGTGGACACTTGCGTGGCTGGACTTCTCGCGTGTGCTTGGGACACCGGCTGCAAAAACGTCGAAAGGTAAGCAGAATGGTTCTTCTCATTGTGTTTACCTGACAATTCGAAGTCATAACTTTCTACTTCTGCGACTACTGATCGATATTCGTTTTACAATCAAGAGCTACAGCAACAAGTTGATGAAACATTCATAAAGTTCATTTTTAAGCTGGCAAATTATCTTTATATTTAGGTTTCGGCACATCTTGTATAGAGAAATAATCATTGAAACAATGGGCGAGTGGAAAGCAATTTAGTTTTCACTTTTCATCGCAATTTAAAGGTTGATTTAAGATCCCATTCACTAGACACATTATATGGGTGAACAAATCTGTTATGGGTTTAAATAGAATCGTACTATTGCTGATGCCATAATAGTTGTTAAACAGGGTGCTCCGTACATAAATGAACATAGTGAAATGGTAGGTAGCACGTAAAGGTAGTATGAACCGAGACCTTTTCATGTTTGGAAATGAAGAATGTTCAAATTTAGTTTTTAAGGATATACGAGTACATGGAGAATTATCTAAACACACCAAATCACATAAGTCAGCACTGTTGCGTCGATTTTCATTGAAGGTTGCAGGATAGTAAAGTTATTTAGGAGCAACGTTAAACTAGATGAACGATAAAAAATCTAGAGCCGGATTCAATATTTTCACTTTTTTGTCTTTTACATTTTAAAATTTTGATGAAACCAAGTTGATAACTCTCGAAATTTCAAGTTTTGTGGTCTATAAAATGCAAATAATGAGATACTTGATAGATTGACATTTTTTAAATAAGAAACTAAACCATGTGCAATCAATCTATTTTGCTAATTAATTAACACCATACATTTACCCTACAGAGTCAGTCACTCCAATATTTAGCTGAAAAGATGTTGATTTTAATAAGATGCCATAAATGTGGAACAATCAAGTTTGGACTTAGATTTTTCAACCGCCCATCTAGTTTTACGTTAGTTCTAGGTAACTTTGTTGTCGTGCAAGATGTCAACAAAATCGGTTCAATAATGTCCGAGATCTGGCGTGCTAAAATAAAAAGCCCTGTATATCCATAAGAACTTGGCTGGACTTTTTTATTTCCAGATATGTTCACACTAGCATTTAACTAGGTCCATTTAAGTACAGAACACCCTATATTCATACAAATGCCTAATACAACATTTTTGCACTAGAATAACATGTGAAAGTCACCAATATGTATATGCTATAAATTATAATTGCATTGATTGTAATGATAGTACAACATAATGTGGAGAAATAAATTTCAAACGGTGCATGTAAAGAATTTTTTAAACACCCTTCTTATAGTTCATTGGGTGCTACGTAATTTGAGGCGCTGATTTTGAATATTGCGTATCGAAAATAATACTATGGTGTTGCGAAACCTTCTTTGGTCGAATTTTGCTCGAGACTGTGGCTACACAAGTCCACCCATTCTAGCTTTTGACTACGAAAACAGTATAGACGTCTTTTTTCCAGCTTTGCCACAAAATCGTTGAATACATATTGCAATTGCAGGGAAACTGTTTTGTAAAAAAATAAACGACAAATGGCGGCCTATGGAGCTGTGACTTGGGTCACCAAATGTCAACAGGGAACAAAAAAAAACTACAGTTAAGCCAGATACAGCGAGTTGCATGTCTTAGCATAACTTGGGCTATGCGAACAACACCAACGAGAGCAATGGAAGTGGTGCTGCACTTGCCACTACTAGAAACTTATCTGGAGCACGTAGCTCTGTCAAAAATGGTACGCTTCAAATCAGTCAGGATACAGCCGAGTATAAGGCGTGGGGCGGCTAGAAGTCGCATGTGGAACACGGCAATTACACACATGCCACTTCTGCAGGCTGATGCAGACAGCATTCCTCCAAAATTTATCCTTGATCGAACCTATACTATTTACACAGCTTCTGAAAACCAGATCGAGGAAGGTGTCATTAACATATTCGCTGACACATCTGAGAAAAATGTTGGGGGTGGTTGTGCAGTATACTCCAGAAGCCTCCGTATGAATTGCAAGTGGTCAATGGATAAACTTGCCACAGTAACACATGACGAATTAGCTGGCATAACCTTGGCTGCAAAGAAAATTACCTCCAAAAATATTAGGGTCTGAGCGGATAGCAGACAGGCAATACTGGCTCCCAATTGAAAATAGTACTAGACTGCCATTTGGCACTTGCGGGTGCCTTCACCAGTAAAAACATAATTGTTACCTGCGTGAAGGATCATTCACAATTCAAGTGTTATATTATAGCTGACAGACTGGCAAAAATGACTGCCGATACCAAAACTCTAGGATCAGAGTTCCTCTGCATTTTATCCATTGGAGCCCTGACAACTATACAAAAAGAGCACACTCACATAGTCTTCAGAAACATGTGGGGTGATACGTCGGGCTGCCCATTAGCTAAATAACTCGTAAGCTACCCTAGCGAGGAAGCAGCAAGACACTACCTGTCTAGACAACAACTTCGGTTTGCCACAGGCATTGCGACTTGACAGAGTCTCATCACCATCCTATTCAACATCCTGGGTTGGCAGATGATCCAGACTTGAGCGACCCCTGGGGGGACGTACACCGGATCCAATGAGGCCTAAGCGCTCTGACCTAATCTGATCACCGGTCCAGAATACAGAACACAGAAACAAAACGACGAACATTATAGATACATAGATATTTAACTTATGTTGTTGGAAATACAGCAAGCTAGAAAACAGGAAAGTATCAATAGTTTGAACAACTCGGCGCCTTAAGATGGAAAAACTTCCATTGAGAACCGGAGACATGTTAATTGAACAATGTTTCAATGTGCCGGAAGTGTTATTTAGGACCGTATCGTCAGTCGTTCCTACAATTTATTGTAGGATGTCTTTATGGCCTCCTTGATTTTCAGTCTTTTCACTCAGAAAAGCTGGGGTGCAGTGGCGACGCGTGACTTTTCCTAAACTGTTACCAAAACCAGATGTGAACAATCTTATTAAAAAAAGTTTATTTTGAACCTCACAAACATAAGTTTTTGCTTATTTTAGGTATTTTATTTAAACTATTTTTAATGTAAGGTAAACATTCCTGGACTGAGCGTCTGAGGCATTTGATATACCTCATCGTATTATGCTATGACTAATCCAAGCAGTCCGAAAAGACGTTTGTTGTTCGGAAAATTTTTGATCTTTTTTGGCAATGAATGTTAACAATTCCCTGTAATTTCCTCTATTGCCAGAGTCATCCCCTTCAAAATGAACGATAATTCCTGTTTTGCCAAAAAACATACGGTATCTAGAAGTGTGCTGCCTAAAAGCTTGGTTAAGACAACTTTCGATTCTTGTTTTGCCAAACTGAATTAAATTGGCTACATATCTCACATGTAACGGAGAAATTTCATGTCTACTCTTTAGAGCCCTGAAACTATTTAAATCGTTGATCTCCTTTTTTTCTTAAAAATTATACAAGGAGAATGACTTTTCAAGTAGTTGATCGATTACGCAGCGACACTCATCCATGTTTAATTGCACGCACACTACAGCCGGTAACCAAAACGGCTACTAACGAGTAAGAAGTAAGTAACCAAATCAAAAAATGGTAACAAGCCTACATAATGTCGCAGCGCCCCACGCATTAAGGCGACCGCGATCAGACACGAGCCGGTTCCGACGGCCCCCGACGGACTAACAAATGTATCCATAAATGAAAATGGTAACAACCGACAACCAAGTCGAGGCGAGTCAGCTTCATCGTGTTCGCAAAACCTAGACACTATAGGGCGCATTATTTTCGTGGGGCTAATTTGCTATTTACTGAGTTACTATTACATATCGCTGTTGGTAAATAAATAATTGAAATTATTTCACAGTACTACTTAGTCATAAAATATTTATTTTTAAGATTTTTAACTGTTACCAATGGTAACAATGGTTACATGGACGCTTCGCCACTGCTGGGGCGTTACTTAATTTTCTGTTCCGTGTCAGCATCAGCGCTCTCCTATTGTGAGACTATGTTTTGTTTTTGAATTGTAGGAAATGTCGGGCTGATATAACAGCAACATCAAAAGCATGAACAATTTGATGCAAATACGATTGTAACATAACCGCAAAATAAAACGCCGACACGGAGCAGTAAAAAACTATGAAAATCAAGGGGGCTATGAAGGCGTTCTACAATTGTAGGAACGACTTTATGGCCTCCTTGATTTCCAGTATTTTCCCTCCTTCAGAAAGGCTTGGGAATTACTAGATTTCTACTGCTCCCTGTCAGCTTCAGCGTTCTCCTATTGTGAAGCTATGTTTACTTTTTGAATCGTAGGAGATATCAGGCTGATAAAACAGATGAAATAAATGAAATGCATGAACAATTTGTCACAAATAGATATTTGTAACATAACCTCAAAATAGAGCGCTGACAAGGAACAGTAGAAATCTATAAAAATCAAGGATGCGTCCTACAACAATTGTATGAACGACTGACGATACGGCCCTTAGTCTATGGAGTAGAATTGTCTAAAAATTTGTTCTAAATTAATGAAATATCAATTTTATTTTGTGGTGCAATTGATTATTCATTTTCTTTTATGAATGGTAAAAAATTTTGCTTTCTATACCTTTGTAGTGTTTCACTTTTTCTTATACCATGATTTTTATATCTTTCAAGTTACAATAATCACAATTGTAATACTTGTTGACACACTTCTGTGAAGTCACATACTTGGCACAGTGGTGTATGTTGGACTTAGAATAACGTCGCTTTACATATTGTGTAGCTTCACTTGATACCGATATCATTAGCGGCAACTATACAGGGTGTTTCAGTTTATTGTTGCATAACTTTAAGATTCGATAGAACTTTAAAAATTAATGCATAAAGTCTATATAAACATGGATCGAAAAATGCGTGGCTTCCGAAATACAGGGTGTTTAAATTTACTTTCTAAAATAGTTTTTTTAAAATATTTCGAACAATATTTAATGTATAACAGTGAAAATTGGTATACAAGGGTTTTTTGGTACGATAAAACGAA